CCAACGCCCGCGAAATATCTAATCTACAAGCACCATGTTCTTATATACATCGTTGAGACTGAGCGAGTTGGGTTTAAACATTATACCGGCATTTCATGACATGGACACAGAAACGGACGTTGTGCCCGTGTGGGATATTGAATTCAGGTCTTGAGAATGACAAATCAATGTTTCAACCAAACAAGCGCAAACACCTATATCTACATAAGTATACCTTGACGGAAACAACTCTGAACAATCCGTTTTAAGTTAACTACATGTCTGATAATTATCATTTGAACTCGGACGGTGGGGTAGCCTTGTGGTTAAAGCATTCGCTCGTCACGCCGATGACCCGGGTTCGATTCCCTACATGGGTACAATGTGTGAAGCCCGTTTCTGGTATCCCCCCGCCGTGATATTGCTGGACATTTGCTAAATGCGGCGTAAAACTAAACTCACTCACTCATGAACTCGCCTGTCCCTCATCCTTTTAAATAGGTCAGACAAGACACACTTTGGTAACTATTGCCTAATCCTGCCTTCCGTGACAATCCTCAGCTCCAACCAAGGGACACGGACATTACCACTCTAATACCTCGAGGCGTGCGTGATGAAGGCGTTAGTTTCCCTTGTGTTAAACCCCATGCTAACACTCCCCTAACCGCACTTGATACACTGACCGCACGACGTTCGGTTGTTCTCGGTAATGGACGGAAACGAATGAATGTGAATAGTGGCATCTTATTGGACATGTCATAACCAGCCTGGACAGAGTGTCGAATTGGGCAAAGGGGAGATTACTTCAGTTAATTAAATACGCTTAATGTTTTCTAATTTTCAGGGTGTTTCGTCATTGACACTGGTTCGTAAGATTACACTCGTCCTACTATTAACTTGATTCTTGTTCATTCTGCCAACATGCTGTTTCTTGTATTGCGAATTGCCCTTTTCAGCTAACCACGTACAAAATAAATTCTGATATGGGTTTATTAATTGTCGATTATTGAGTGAAACAACTTATTATCTGTATGAATCCCCAAACACCGTATCCCTACCAGAAATGTATATAGATAGACAGATAGACAGATATATGCTTATACGTGAGCATGGGAAGGTACACTAGACCAGAGAGTGTGTTATGCGTTAATGGGGAGATGGTGTTGACCACTCCAACTGTCTAATGTATTGGTGAACAACTACATCGAGGAATTGAAACTGTCCAAATGTAAGGGAGGCGAGAAATACTGGACCACTGCAACTGTCAGAGGGTGGCGAGATATACTGGATCATTAACACTGTCAGAGGGTGGCGAGATATACTGGACCACTGCAACTGTCAGAGGGTGGCGAGATATACTGGATCATTAACACTGTCAGAGGGAGGCGAGAAATACTGGATCATTAACACTATCAGAGGGTGGCGAGATATACTGGATCATTAACACTGTCAGAGGGAGGCGAGAGGAGGGTGGCGAGATATACTGGATCATTAACACTGTCAGAGGGTGGCGAGATATACTGGATCATTAACACTGTCAGACACTGGATCATTACGAGATATACTGGACCACTGCAACTGTCAGAGGGTGGCGAGATATACTGGATCATTAACACTGTCAGAGGGAGGCGAGAAATACTGGATCATTAACACTGTCAGAGGGTGGCGAGATATACTGGATCATTAACACTGTCAGAGGGTGGCGAGATATACTGGATCATTAACACTGTCAGAGGGTGGCGAGATATACTGGATCATTAACACTGTCAGAGGGTGGCGAGATATACTGGATCATTGAAACTGTCAGAGGGTGGCGAGATATACTGGCCACTTTAACATTGTAAAAATAGACGTGGGGCGAGATATACTGGATCATTGAAACTGTCAGAGGGTGGCGAGATATACTCGATCATTAACACTGTAAACATAGACGTGGGGCGAGATATACTGGATCATTGAAACTGTCAGGGGGTGGCGAGATATACTCGATCATTAACACTGTAAACATTGACGTGGGGCGAGACATACTGGATCATTGAAACTGTCAGAGGGTGGCGAGATATACTCGATCATTAACACTGTAAACATAGACGTGGGGCGAGACATACTGGACCATTGAAACTGTCAGAGGGTGGCGAGATATACTGGATCATTAACACTGTAAACATAGACGTGGGGCGAGACATACTGGATCATTGAAATTGTCAGAGGGTGGCGAGATATACTCGATCATTAACACTGTCAAAATAGACGTGGGGCGAGACATACTGGACCATTGAAATTGTCAGAGGGTGGCGAGATATACTCGATCATTAACACTGTCAAAATAGACGTGGGGCGAGATATACTGGACCACTGCAACTGTCAGAGGGTGGCGAGATATACTGGATCATTAACACTGTCAGAGGGAGGCGAGAAATACTGGATCATTAACACTATCAGAGGGTGGCGAGATATACTGGATCATTAACACTGTCAGAGGGAGGCGAGATATACTGGATCATTAACACTGTCAGAGGGAGGCGAGATATACTGGATCATTAACACTGTCAGAGGGTGGCGAGATATACTGGATCATTAACACTGTCAGAGGGTGGCGAGATATACTGGACCACTGCAACTGTCAGAGGGTGGCGAGATATACTGGATCATTAACACTGTCAGAGGGAGGCGAGAAATACTGGATCATTAACACTGTCAGAGGGAGGCGAGATATACTGGATCATTAACACTGTCAGAGGGTGGCGAGATATACTGGATCATTAACACTGTCAGAGGGTGGCGAGATATACTGGATCATTAACACTGTCAGAGGGTGGCGAGATATACTGGATCATTGAAACTGTCAGAGGGTGGCGAGATATACTGGCCACTTTAACATTGTAAAAATAGACGTGGGGCGAGATATACTGGATCATTGAAACTGTCAGAGGGTGGCGAGATATACTCGATCATTAACACTGTAAACATAGACGTGGGGCGAGATATACTGGATCATTGAAACTGTCAGGGGGTGGCGAGATATACTCGATCATTAACACTGTAAACATTGACGTGGGGCGAGACATACTGGATCATTGAAACTGTCAGAGGGTGGCGAGATATACTCGATCATTAACACTGTAAACATAGACGTGGGGCGAGACATACTGGACCATTGAAACTGTCAGAGGGTGGCGAGATATACTCGATCATTAACACTGTAAACATAGACGTGGGGCGAGACATACTGGACCATTGAAATTGTCAGAGGGTGGCGAGATATACTCGATCATTAACACTGTCAAAATAGACGTGGGGCGAGACATACTGGATCATTGAAACTGTCAGAGGGTGGCGAGATGTACTGAATCATTGAAACTATCAAAATTGAAGGGAGATAGGGAAAGGCGAGATATACTGCTGGAGAACTGTCTTATATAAAAGTGGCCATATGTATCAAACGGTGGAAACTGGGATTGGAGAGTGGCGTGTGTCTCTTCACGGGGACTTTATGGTGATGACAGTGACTGACATGGTTCAGTTCACTGCTACATTGAGAACTATGGTTCGACTGCCACATTCAGAGCTAAGATTCCACTGCCACATACAGAACTAAGGTTCCACTGTCACACTCAGAGTGAGTGAGTAAGTTGAGTTTTACGCCGCACTCAGCAATATTCAAGCTATATGGCGGCGGTCTGTAAATAATCGAGTCTGGACCAGACAATCCAGTGATCAACAGCATGAGCATCGATATGCGCAATGGGGAACCGATGACATGTGTCAACCAAGTCAGCGAGCCTGACCACTCGATCCCGTTAGTCGCCTTTTACGACAAGCATGGTCGCCTTTTACAGCAAGCATGGGTTGCTGAAGGGCTATTCTAATAGACCCGGACCTTCACGGGTCGTCACACTCAGAACTATGGTTCGACTGCCACATACAGAACTAAGGTTCCACTGTCACACTCAGAGCTATGGTTCGACTGCCACATACAGAGCTAAGGTTCCACTGCCACACTCAGAACTATGGTTCGACTGCCACATACAGAACTAAGGTTCCACTGTCACACTCAGAACTATGGTTCGACTGCCACACTATGGCTGAACTCACATATTGAAAACTACAGTGGAACACTCACATTAATAATCAATGTTCTACTCACACATACTCATCATACCTTCATGTAAAATACTTTAATTTCATTGGTCAATGACGCTTTAACATATTTCTGTGTCACCCTCATAATATGACGCATGCAGTTCCCAGAGTTCGGAAACCGTTTGATTAGCTGTTTTTGAGTTCACTATGTAGACATATATTTCACCGACTTTCTCTGCTTTGTTTAAACTATTTTATACATTGAATCGTTTGAACACTCAACATGATTAACCATTTTTATAGCCGTTTTAAGCTGGTCAGAATATGTTTCACTGATTTTGAAAATCCAGTCGAGAGGCAGACGCCATTTTGTTTACATGTCATAAAGTCGGTAGCGATCTTCCAAATAAAATTATGGCGGTAAGATAAATACGTTGTATGCTTCTCCCTCGGGTAATACGGTCTGATGTAAGCCTCTTTGTAGCAGTGCCATTCCTCGCCTACCGGCTCGGGTAACGCTGCTACAAAGAGGCGTAAATCAGACCGTATTACCCTCGAGAGAAGCATACAACTTATAATGTCCACATTCAAACAGTTGATGGATATCGATAGAATACTTCGGCAAGCACCATTTGTCCTTCTCAAAGTTGTGGATTCCCAAGATTGTTATAACGCCCCTCTCTGAAATTAAACTCAAACAAGTAGTCCCCTCTGACGAGATGGGCTTCAGGTGGCCATGTCGCCTAGGCAGATTTCCCTCCCTTGAATACGAGAGACACTAATGATTGTGGCTTCCCGGTTCTACTCTGGATTCTGTCATCATCACTTCGGGCTTTCCACCGTATTATAACTGGAATATTGTTTGAAACAGCGGTACACCAAACACCCACAACCCACTTTGACAAGCAAAATCGTTTGGGTAAAGGAAAAGAAGTGAATCATTTCAAGCTCATATTTTATTGTGAAATACACATTGCAACAGTATAAAAATACATACAAAACAGCGTGTTATACATATTATATTTATTCATATTCATTCGTCCAATTTGCAACGCGTATGCAACTTCAAATGCCTTAAGTTCGTTATATCTGACTGGGTGGCAATCTGAACAGAGATGTGATATGTGAGTTATCAGATCTCTTGGACTAGTGTTTGTCATAGAAGGCATTTTGCTATAACTGATCCCTATCAGGATTTTTAACAAGCTTGTGCTATGCTGCTGACATAATCACAACGACTGCAAACACCTGACTGTGTAAGTTTGTACAACCGTGAACTATTTACATATTTACAAGGATTCCATTCCAAAATCATAAACAGTTCAGTTGGAGAGAGTTCAGAGAACACCATTAAATAGTTTTGATTAAGTAAAACAAAGATAAAATAACAACATCATCATGTGGGTAGAAGGGTCTTCAGAGAGCTACATAACATATAACTGTATTGAGTGAGTGGGTGAGTAAGGTTTTACGCCGCTTTTAGCAATATTCCAGCATTATCACGGCGGTGGACACCAGAAATGGGCTTCACGCATTGTACCTATGTGGGGAGTCGAACCCGGGTCTACAGCCTGACGAGCGAACGCATTAACCACTGGGCTATCCTACCTCCCCCTAATAACTGTGTTGAATATGTACAGGTGGTAGAGTCGTGCAATATTAAAACGAGACTTTCTCCAAACCATTCTCCAATGACAAGTTGAGAAGCTGTTGAGCAACTGTAAAAAGATATAACTCAATGCCCATTATTGTCAGTCACGAACTTGTCTGAACATTGTGAACGGTGTGAACGTACTCTGGCCTCGGGAAGATTAATGTTACTCTTTGTTATTACTAATATCAGCTGAGGCAGGAAATCACAGACTAGCATGTTTCAATGAACGGGAGTCCACATTTATCATTTATCTTTATATACAGGATTGAGCCTGACATGTGCATCAGAGCCGCCAAAACTGTATGACTTTTTACCGCCAATCTGTCTGGAAGCCTTCACAGAAGGGACGCCCGAAAATCGAGCTATAGGTTCATAGGGATTCTGATCACCGGATCTTGCCGAGCCAAGTTCTACATTCAGAGAGGCTCGGCCGGGAATCGCTGGTGCGGCCTCGTCGTAAGGGTTGTCTCTGGAGTATGTCTCGGAACCAGCAATGGTTGAGAAGTCTTCCTCGTCATACGATGGGTTGGCTCTACCGCCTATCTGCTCTTCATAAACCTGTGCCTCCGTAGTGACATCGTCAAGAGGGATGGAGACGGTGTCGTCTTCAAATGCTGGGTTGTCATGGCCACCTCCGCTATCGGAGTCAGCCTGTTTGTTGGATGAATCGGTATTGTTGCCGTCACCGCCGCCCATGCCGCTGTCCCGGCTGCCGAGACTGGCGTTGGACGGAGACGCTGGGAGACCAATCTTCTTCCCTCGGTGAGAGTTGAGAACTCCCTCGAACACCGACTCCACAAAGGTTCTCTTGACGATCCCGATACGAAAGAACCCGAGCTGCCCTTTGTCGATATTCCGACAATCCACGACGGTGGAGGCCGAGTTCTCTGGAGCTGGCCCACTGCACAGAATCCCGTCACACTGAAGCATGTAAATACAACGTTAGTTTTCTACAGAGAGAATTGAAAAAGTGGCGTGGTAAGACTAAAAAATAACACACATTGTTTAGTCATAATAGGAAACACGCTCATGAAACACAATATTTCATTGCCTGCCGCAATTTCACAAGATGTCATAAGAAATCGTACACCCCCGAAATATACAAGTTTGCTTAAAGGAATGTTTCTTATTCGGATCAATCCCATGTTTTTGAAGAACCGTTCTGACATGTATATTTCCCATGGAGTCGAGAAGGAAATTAGAATGCAAACTGATCCGTTGACCGCGGTAATAACGCCAAATGCTTTGAGCATGACCATAGCTACTGGAATACTGTCGCAATAAGAATTACCGTATTTCATCAATATCAATACGTTTACATTTTAACAATATAACATTATTTTTTATTTTATCGAACTAAAAGATCCTACTCTTGATAAGAGGACAGTTTGAATCATTTTTAAACATGTAATGTGCCAATGCTTACGTTTTCAAGTCCAAGTTTAGCCAGTACTTGGAGATGGTGGGTGGTGTCAGCCTCGCCGGTGGGGTTGGCGGAAGTGGAGGCTACGGGGCCGCAGATGTCGAGGAGGGCGGAAGTGACGGTGTTGTCGGGCATACGGGTGGCGATACTGTCGGGTCGGCCGATGTACTTCTCTGCATAACCAATACCCAGACTGTCCAGCCAGGGTCCTGGGGGAAACGCAGTGTATCATCAAACTAACTTTATAGAGTGTATGGTCAATACTGCATATATGAATGGGGCGTACCCGCAGACACTAACCAAATAGAAGTGGGACATGCTTTTTACTAGCACTACAGAGACTGTATATAGGAGCAGGTGTAGTTTTAAGCGTTCCTAGAATGATTTAGTATGGTTTTACGCCGCTTTTAGGAATATTCAGTAATAGCACGGCGGGGGACACTAGAAATTGGCTCACAGAGTGTCCCCATGAAGGGAATCGAACCCTGGACGAGCGAACGCTTTAACCATCAGGCTACCCCACCTCCCCTCCTAGAATGCCAGTATGTGAGAGCAGGTGTACCTTTAGGCAGCACAAGACTGACAGTGCCTGGCCAGATCTCCTCCATGAAGTCCCACAGCAGCTCCCCGAACAAAGGACGCCCTGCAGCGATCTGTTCTCTCCGGGAGATCCACATTGACATAGGTCTGTCCTCAGCCTCCTTCTTCGACTTGTAGGCCCTCTGTAAGAGATACACATGCTGGTAAATGAACACTCAACTATGAATAACGCTGAGAGTACAAGATTATGTCCACTGTGAAGCGTCGATGGCAAGGTGATCAAAACGGTCCTCATTTTGATAGAGTTTTATGATGATGTTTTAGATCATGAGTAGTAGTAGTAGTAGTAGTAGCAGCAGCAGCAGCAGCAGTAGTAGTAGTAGTAGTAGTAGTAGTAGTAGTAGTACAAAAGTATTTCTCACCTCGACTGACTTCGGAAACTTGACAGCAGCGACCAGCACATACACCACATCAGTTGGAATTCCACAGATGCCACCCTTGTTCATTATCTCTGAAACCAAGGAGAGTAGAGCATATACTACGGAGACCCTTAAAGCCATGTTAGTAAGAGAGAACGTGCTTTTGTATAAACAAATCTGTGGACAGTAAAGAAAACAAGTGTGTGAGTCAGTGATTGACTTTATGTTTACACCGCTTCTAGCAATATTCCAGCAACAGCACGGTGCGCACACAAATACATAACATTAGAAGTAACGAGCATGATTATGTTGTTCTTTGGTCAATACAACTCTAAGGGACTAAGTACGTACCTCCAATTGTGTTAACTCCGCTTTGCTTTTTCGCATCTGCCCATATTGCCCTGTCCCCTTGAGAATGGATATAGCTGACCTGGAGGAGAGGTTTACCCAGGGGAAGGACGTCCCGGCCCCACACAGTCTTCAGAGCGGAGGCAGCGAAGCAGTACACGCAAACGATGACGAAGATGATGATGATGACGATCTCGTAGACACTGACGCCAGGGACGGCGAGAACGCGCAACAGGAAGGCAAGGACGACAAGCTCAAACACAGCACAGATGAGGAACCATGCCTTGTTGATGAGGGCAGCCAAACCAAGGTTGAGGAGGCCCACACAGAGGAAGGCAATACAACCAGTAGCAGCAGCCACGCTGTTGTCCAGGACGAGAATGCCTAGTCCACGAGCAGGTCCCCATATCAACCAGAGGCAGGAGAATGTGAAGAATGCACAGCTCTCCACTGTCAGACCTCTTGCGAAGGCAATGGATGCCACAACCATCTGAGGAATGCCGCCGAAGCCGATCACCCACGGCATAACTGCTGGTCCGAAAGGCGCCCAGACAACTGCAAGAGCTGATACAGCATTGAGGGCAAACCCCACACTATCGAGGTCTAGATACTTCGAGAAGCCCAACATCTCACTGGAGGAGAAAAGGCTGCTACTACGACGTCCTCCCGACTCCTTCAGCCTTCCGTAGATGCAGACGGCGCAACAGCGGCATTTGTTTACGAGGAAGTTCTTCAGTTTTGCCGTCTCAATACATCGGACACCAAGCGGTATCTTGAAGGAACCGTTCTGGAGTCGACTTATGTGGGCGGCGAGTCCGTATAGGGAGAAGATGAAGCTGATCCAGCCCATGGCACCGAGGAAGACGCCGGAGAAGCCGTTGACGCAGAACGCGATACACATGATGCAGAGAGATAGGTGTTGAAGGAATTGGTAGATTTCGCGGGTAAGGGAGATAATCGAGATGCAGAAGAAAGTGATGATGTAGATGACTTGAACAGCTATAAGTGGAGGCATTGTGGTTGCCATGGCATACTCGATCGTGAGGGTGTACGCGTTGGCCATCCAGAACATGCTGTGGATAAAGAAGAGGCAGCCGTTGTAGGCGTCGGAACGACGGACAGCGACGACGCCGGCGACCGATTGGAAGATGCCAGCTGATACGACCCACATGAACTCCTGCCTGGGGTTGTTGTAGATACCCGTCACGTGTCCAGCAAATATAGCAAAGGCCAGCGTGTCCATTGCATGACCAAGGGGGATGTAATCTTTCGAGTGACCTTGGCTGTGGGTTTGGGGTTCCACGTTATCTTTGTCGTCTCGTTTCTTCAGCTTGGTGATGAGGTTGCTGGCGATGCTGTAGAGGGTGAGGGCGGCAAGGAGGATGTAGTACGAACCGGCGCTCGAGCGGAGAGGTCGCCAAAGGGAGGCAATCTCGAAAATGCAGGAGAGAAAGAAACCAAGGGAGAGAACTGCTGCAAACTTTGCCTTGTGCTGAAGGGACCCAATGACGAATAGGAGGAATATTAGGAGGAAGGCGCCGTATCCTGCCCACAGTGCCTGGGAGTCTGTCACCCCCTGTGGGTTTGTGCCTTCGGTCACGTGATAGATGCCAATGCTGCCCCACATGGCAGCGAGACAGAGCTGAAAGGATCGGAGGACGCTTTCTTCAGGGTGCTCGGCAGATATACCTGAAAGTGAAAAAGGAGATTTTAGCAATGGCATGCAATTGTATTGAGATTTTTTGCACGTACTGAGATTTTTAGGCATCGGTTTGAACCGAAATCAGATTGTAGTTTATTGATTTATTGAACATATAAATAACACATTTTAATGCATTTTGACAGGACAGCACACTTACGGCCGACACAACTGATATTCACGTATATATTATACGTATGAAGAAACGGAGCTATATATTCACTTGATTTTGTCAAGTGTTTGATTTTCAAATGTAAATATCTTACGTTAGCTAATAATCCAGCTGATGATGATGTACTCTCCCTTAGTCAATAGACAAATAATACTCCTAAATCAAGTTTTATTTTTGATTTAAATAAAACCTAATCTAATTATGTAAAACCGTTAAAAAACCTACATTATACACAATTACTAGTTGTTGTCTGAGACATCTTAGTTTTGAAAATAAATAGAAGTGTGTTTTTGTCGAATACTGTAAACATAATCGGGATCATGCGGTTGCAAATATATTTTTTACCCCAATCTTCATTGAAACATTATAGTTCTACACAAAATTTCTGTCACATATTCGTTTAACAAACTGTTGCAGGAATGACTGATTGTCATAATCAAATTTAGGAGTTCTTTCAATTTTTAATTACATAAAAAATACTTTGCTTTTCCCCTTTAGTTATAATTGCAGTAGTACCTGGCTTCACCACCCGTGAAGGTCCGGGTTAGAATTGATCTTCAGTAACCCACGCTTGTAAGAGGCGACTAACGGGATCGACTGGTCAGGCCCGCTGACTGGGTTGACACATGTCATCGTATCCCAATTGCGTAGATCGATGTTCGTGCTGTTGATCACTGGATTGCCTGGTCCAGTCTCGATTATTTACAGACCGCCGCCATATAGCTGGAATATTGCTGAGTGTGGCGTAAAACTAAACTCACTCACTCTCACCTGGCTTCACCACACTTCCGTCTTTTAATTGTTTAGATGATAAGTAACAGATAATTTGATATTATGACGAAATTGGCCACTGAATGTTTCCCATTCCAGTCGTAGAGTACATGTGACATTACTTTGTTTAAAAACATAACCACACTGCATACAGTTATTTATATACATGCTTGCGGTTATCTCCGAAGGAACTGAATGTGAAATGTTTTGTGTTACACAATCCCTCGGTCCGTCTTCTTCCTGTCCGAGTTGCCGGGAAGTCAGCGGGATTCGGTCCACGCCATGGATACTTGTGTACATAGTAGCGGAAGTACACGGTGTTTTTACATTTCCTTCCTCGGTTGTTTTTTGTTGTTTTGCAACGGTGTCCGTGAGCGAGTGAAATGAGACTATGTATTTTTCATCAGCTAACAAAAATCCTTTTCCTCTATTATCATTGTAAACTCAATGGGAGTGTTGAAATTTTATCGACTTTTATGTTGGCATACTTGATATCGAAAGACACGAGAGAGTGAGAGATTCTCTGTATAACCAATTAGGGTTTAGACTTAGTGAATATTATGTCTGGCCTATTACCGTCACACCCTTTCTCTGGAGCGGCGTCTCGTGTCACGTTTAGTTAGAATTAACTAGATCAAGTTTTAGACTAGTTCCTCACATAAACATTTACGTAGGTCCCATGATCACGTGAAGGAAATATGCGCCGCTACCATGTATTGTGAATCGCTGAGAGTGTATGAACAGTGGATGACGTCATGCTTTATTGTCAGAGTCTGTGAATGCTGTATGACGTCATCAAGCCAAAAGGTGACGTTATACAGACAATCGAAACAATGGAACGAAAAGCAGGAACTAACTTCGTAACATGTAAGATTAAAATTCAGTCGATGAAATATACATTGCATTTAACAATGCACATGAAATCATGCTCTGGATACTTCCACTAGCAACTGACATGCTTAGAAATCTATAAACGTTAAAAGAAAAGAATGTAAGGGATCCTCTGTTCTGATCCTATGAGCGGTGGAATGAATGTCATTTGAAAATGTCGGTGTAGTTTCTAATGTCCAATACTTCGAACGGGATACCAGGAATGACATAGTGTTCGATGTGACGTCATATTCTTTTCTCAATTCTCGCCGAAAATATTCAATAGTAAAGTAATCTAAATAAGCATCATTCTTCATTTAACCCCAAATACCGACTGCTTCATATGATAAATGATAGTAAAATATATATTGATTGATCACTAAACAACCCAGTCATATATCAGGGTACGTAATTATGACTGGTCAAAGTGTCTTTATGTCAGTTCTCTAAATCCTTTCCATAAGTATAATTATGAAAAGTGTATAAAGCAAATGTAGGTATAGATGCATCTATATATAGATCGTATGTAATGATGTTAACGATTTCTTCGTTATTCGTTCTTATATTCGACAATTTATCTCTTACAAGGCCATACAATACAACTTACTACATTTAAAATTCTCAGCAATACCTTGAAACAGTTTGACAGTCTGTTCATAAAAATAACTCTGAAAATGTTATTTATATGATAAACATCATAAACAATACACGATGTACTTAAATACATTTAGAAAAGTAGAACAACAACTACAAAACGATGTTAGAAAAATTTACACATTTATACTATATGTCATTATTAAAGTTGATATAAAATACATATATAAGTAAATAAACTTGACTTACCGACAATGATGCTGAGAGTTGAGAGCACAATGAGGACGGCTCCATACGAAACATTTATGGGCAGTGTGTTGTTTGTGACGCTGAAGTTAAAGATGCACACTACCAGTAATGTGACAAATGTACAGTATAGACCAGCTACAGTGGCCGAACTTCGCCGGATCAGGCCCATGTTCGTTATGTGTTCTTAACGTCTCAATAGTCACTCGTCTAATGTCGTCAAACACCTAGCCTTTGAGAATAAAACCACTCGCACTCTTTTCCTTGCGGCGGAAGAAAAAAACGTCACTGTATATGATGCTGTGAAATTGGTCAGCTCATTTAAATATGAGGCGGATTTTGACAGTATGAGGGCGTGGTAAAGTTCCTCGACGTCATGCAATCATATGATTTCAATGGAGATAATATTTTTTGTCACGCGGAGATGTTTTCATCTGTCACCTGTGCGCACGAACATTCCGCGACTAGTTCCGTGTCAGGTAAGTTACTAATTTTTGATGTACCTTACAATAACAGTGCAGGGGTTTCTTCCGGGTTTACGGATTGGCTACAAGAAAAGACGTGTCCCTACCGATTGGTTAGTAGGAAATGAGTGCAGCGGTCAGTGCGCGAATCATTGCGCACTGTGTAGTGTATACAAAGGGTTATGCTAAAACTGGTGGTGAGTAAGAAACGGCAGGGGGCGGCGCTACCACTGTTCGGACCGGGAAGATCCGGGCTAAAATATATGATGACGTCTAAGATAGAACGATAAATGTGGTTTGGGATACCACCCACTCTGGAAAATATCATATCAAAGCTTACGCATGTCGTGACTCCTCCCAGTGGTAAAAATAGGCATCCGGCGTAACAGACCCGTATCGAAATTGGTTATATATTCAACGTTCACTGCGACACTGAAGCAATTTGACATTTCGGGAGATTAGGTTTGAGAGTTGCGGGAATCTTCTTGTGGCGTTTCCCTGTATCCGCATTGACGACACAAAACGGGAAACTGCTTACTTCATCACCACAAACACTGGAACTCTTTTGAAGGCAACACTGTACATTTTTACGCGAGATACATGGCCACTAGTTAGCTAGTCGGCATTTAACTTAAAGGACAGCTCATTTTCAAAAATATTTTCCCCATCGGTTCTCGGAAGAAAGCGGACTATTGTTACAAATTCCTGAGGTTCTTGACACTACTTTTCACCAGTGTGAGAAATCTCTTCAAGCAGACGTGATCGGAGCAGACGACCGTTGTGATCGCAGACGACAATTATGGATCCAGAGGAGAAGGTTGAAGCCTTCGCGGCGATATTATACGCCGAACCGGGCACCCTGGGCTTGATTGCAAATATTATGTCAGCTTTAATTGTTGCAGTAGAAAACATGCTTGACGGCCCATTTTCTCAGCCCGCGATGACACTTGCAGGTAAGTAAAACAAATAGTTTTGTTTATAATTTATTCAGACAGCCATCGATATTTTATTTTTAATATGTTAACAAAATATTTAATCAAAATGTATTTGTATTGGCCCAATCCGAACTGAGATAAGCTTTAATAGTTTTTGTGGATACATTTTGACTTTAACTCGTTCAAGATTTTATTTATTTCATCTTGACCTCTCTCGTAGAACATTATTGTGTTAATGCTGGCAATATACTTTGACACTCAAGGAAACGTCCCCTTATCTACCGTTAACTTCCCTATTGCGCCCCCTCGCCATTTGCGTAACTTTACAAATAACAATCGCTGGCTTAAGACTTCAACGGGGATTAACAGAAGTTTGTCAAAAATGTTTGACCATGTATTCCAAATTTCGATATTATTCATTTTCACAAAGTTTTAAATGACAATATTCAGACCAACTCCAATTTTCATTACATTTGTGTGATATTAGAAAAATGAAGATACGTCACCATTTTTGTTAAATATCCTTTCGGTAGCCATGACCACCAGAATAAATATATATTTACTTATCATTGAGATATAATTCTTTTAAAACATGATATCTTTTGATGATACAGAAGATTGTGAGAATTCTCTCTTTTATAGAAAAAGCCAGAAATGTGTTCTAAAAAGTCATGCCGTGTAGTGCATAAAACTACAAACGTTAAATTGTCAAAGTGCATTTAAAATGTTTGTACAAATTATACATTAATTTCCGTTGTTCCGAACCCACACATGTGTCGCTGGTATGTATAAAAAGGAAACTGACGTCAGCCACCTACTGTTTAAGTCTAAGCTTGTCGCTAAGCCGATTACCACTGTTGTGTAACCTTAGGATATAGCTCCCGTTTCCTTTCGAAATGTTCCCCTTTTAATCTGGTTTACATTAAAGAACAACCGTGTGATAAAAAGAATTTAACAACAACGATGAAACGGAAATGTTATTTTTCTGTTCTTATTTCTTCCCGCTCCCGCGGTTTGAATCTAAATATCAATGTAAAAAGTCGGATTGAAAGCGTACAATAAAAATGAAATATCGCGGAAATGAAATATTTTGCGAAACAGGTTTACAACAGAAAAATATTTAGGAATCAAGATTTTAGTGCGTATTAAACGTATTTTGCGCTTGGATACGAACGGGGAAATGTCACAAGAATACTTGTCATTTAGCCATATTTGAACGGTGAGGGCGGATGGGTAGCCTAGCGATGAAAAATTCGCTCTTCACTCCAAAGGTCCGGGTTCGATGCCAATATGGGTACAATGTTTGAAACCAATTTATGGTGTCCTGGCTGTGATATTTTTGACAGAAACAAGTTCGATCAATAACTCTTCATAATTAATCGACCCACCTAAAATGTATTGGTCATTCCTAAATTCCCCATCAAAATGACGACGCTGTTAAACCTGGCTGTTATGAGTTATTTATGTTGACTACCAGTAAAGTAATGTTACATAATGTAAAGGGTTGTGGTTGATTGGGGGTGTGTCTGCAGCCTTGTGGTCAAACCAAAGTCGGAGTTTGATTACACGCATGGGTAAAATCTGTGGAACTAGTTTCTGCTGTTCCGCTACGTATTATTGCTGAAATGTTGCTAAAAGCGGCGTAAAACTAAACTCACTCACTCACTCACTACTCACACGTAAACAGCTGATCATTCTAAACCTTTTCTATAAAGTATAAGGGGCGGTGGTGTAGTCTAGCGGTTAAAGCGTTCGTTCATCAGTCTGAAGACCCGGTTTCGATTCCCCACATGGGTACAATGTGAGAAGCCCATTTCTGGTGTACCCGCCGTGATATTGCTAAAACAGCCTAAAACTAATCTCACTCACTATAAAGTATAACGCCGTAATTTGAAATCATTATATACTATAACAAGCTCAAAGAATGTTTGGGGCGGTGGGGTAGCCTAGTGGTTAAAGCGTTGGCTCGTCACGCAGAAGACCCGAGTTCGATTCCCCACATGGGCACAATGTGTGAAGCCCATTTCTGGTGTCCCCCGCCGTGATATTGCTGGAATATTGCTAAAAGCGGCGTAAAACTGAACTCACTCACTCACTCAAAGAATGTTTTCAAGGAAGCGAGACTCTTGAACCATTCTAACAAGAGTACCAAAAGGAACCATTTCTGGTGTACCATGTGCCCGTTTACTGGATAACACGACAGATCATGTAGCCACAAACCCCTTAAAATGTATGGCAGACAGACACAAGTTAACCTCCCTTTGTCTTTTATTTGTTCTTCTTCCTCTCGGGTGTTTCCCATCGATCACTGTTTCCTGTGAAATAACTTCCAAGACACGTCGGTCGGCGGTACGGAGAATCCGTCACCTGTCAATCAAACTCATACACACAGTTGTCAGTGTTTAAAATGTCCGTTCTCCGCTTCGACTTGTTATAATTGTTTATATATAAATATTTTATGTATCAGTTTATATTAATATTTTGTGCAAGATACGATCGCCAAAAAGTGTTTATAGCCGAGGGCAATTTCGGCTCGGGGTTTCTATGGCGGGTGGCGGGTGGCGGGCGAGACTGACAAGAGTTACGTCCCTTGTTTATACCGGTAGTGGTTGAGCATTTCAAATAAAAAGCATTTCGATGAATAAAAATGTTTCTATTCATGAATATGTTCGGATTCAGGTTTTAGTTAAGAAACATGTTCAGTAACATTTGCTTTCAGGAAACGGGAAAAGTACACAAAGGCCTTGGAACAAAGGGTTAGAATAAATACAAGCACAAAGTACGCTCTATGATCGCACAGATAATACGTATACTCAACATGGTTAAACTACATGGTTTTCGTGACGTAAAAACAAAATTCAACATTCCAGCTGTATTAAGCCAGGAAGAATATGCAGATATTCTGCAGCTTTTTAATATTTGGCCGAATTCTGAGAGTATTTACGCTTTTTGATACACAAATGTGGTTTATTAAAACATACTAAACCCACATCAAACGTATTTTGAAATATAGTATGTCAACAAGTAAACACAAGAAGAATTAACCCCTGATCTCCAACAACACTTGAGTCTCACGGTCACAGGGTATCAAGTGTGTTTAAGCCGATGATGGGATTTCCCGGGTAATTGGATAATGGGGTTAATCGCGAATGATAGCATCTCGAGTGGCAAGAAGAACTACTTCACTACATGATGTACCCTCTTTGTGAACGTGCGTCTATAAAACATCGAGCAGAAACACAAGCCTAAACCACCCCTCCCCTACACACAAATCACCGTTAATTTGGCAAAATGATTACAAACAATATTTATGACTTCGTTGTGCAATGTACCTATAGTAATACAAAAACAGGTAATTTGGGGAAAAGGGATAACGGGAGATGTTATTTGATGATTATGTTCAACAAAAATACTTTTAGTGCTGATAAATGTAACGGAAGAATACTGCATCTCCGTTACACGATACAGCATGTATCAGTAGCTCTGATAAAGAAAGAACAGTAACTTTGTCTTTTTCACCCTTTTCATATAATTACCATGGTTACAATGCATTTCTTCCACAGGGGCGCACCTGATTATCATGGGAGGGTTTCTGCAGCTGGTGGCTGCTCTTCTCTGCTTCCGGCGTAACGACCATTTGACCGGAACAGCTTTCGCCGTGTTCGCTGCCTTGTGGACAGTGATGGGCATCAATCACATCCTATCTCCGATCATTGGGGCCGAGATCCTGAGGGTGGGGATCCTCCCCGGTATGATAGGCTTCATGACCGTGGCAGTCATTCTGTCTCTCTGCGCCATCACCGTCAACTACATCATGCCTCCGGTCCTTTTCGCCATCATGTTGACACTTATTTTCGAAGGCGTTGGGGCCTTCTTCGACTGGGGTAGAAGAGTCGCTGCAGCTTTCGAACTCTTCATCGTCATCACCAGCGTCTACGCCTCGGTTGTCATGGCTTTGAAAGGGGTGAGTCAGAGATACATCCTGCCCGGTCTCGGCAACGCCATCTTTGATCCACTTCTGATCCGAGTGAAGGAGAACCCCAACACTACCAACGAAGCCAGGAAAAACACAAAGTACGGTGAACCCTACGGTCTCGGTTACATGGGCAACGTGGTGCCAGCGGCAACGCTGGTCTTCCATCATCTGGGATACTTCGCCGACTTCCGGGCCGCTATGCCAATGTTCGTCTACTGTTTCTACTGCCACCTCCTCGCAAGCTACTACGCCTTCCTCAGACACGACTTCTTCCATGCCGTCGAGTTCAGCATCTACTTCCTGTTCTGGTTGTCAAGAGGAGCGACCCAGCTTCTCATCTCCCTCAACTTCCCAGGCATCGACGACGTCAGGGTGAACTTTTTCGGTCAGTGGGGTCTCATTGCGATAGCTCTGTTTCTCCTCCTGCTGTCCGCTGTCCGAAACAAGGTCGTCTTCATTTACAACTTCCTGTTTCTCTGCGTGGTGGTACTCTCCGTCGACCACATCCCTCATCAGGCCCACAACTTCTCCTTCGGGGTCTCGGGGGCCATTTTCGCCATTATTTCGCTGTATGTGTCCATGGCGCACCTGGAGAACTCCATCGCGGAGAAGTCTGTCATGTGGATTGGGGAAGAAGTCATCCACACAGACAAGCTGAAGAAGGCCCTCATCGGCATATTCAAAGGAATGGGGTAAGTTTCAAATTGTGTCACCAGTTTCTGGGTCTTTGGTCATGTAATGCAGTATTTTGTAGGGATCAGGTTGCTAACTTCTTCATGTAGTGAAAAAATAGCTGCGCATAGTTAGGAGAAAATAGAACATTCAATAATTTATTTTAATATATTTTTATTTTTCAATACATTCAATACATATTACTTATCGTCATTGACCCACAAAAGAATGTAGTCAGTGGACTTTTCATGAATTTTACATTAGATAATTATTTTTAATCAATGTTATTACACTCAAGATACAAAATTCGTTTTCATCATTGATCCTAGGTTAGAAGTTCATTTCAGCGACAAAATGTGAAGATTTAGTTTTAAAAATAAATTGCAAAGTACTTTCCGATTAAAAACGCCAACACAAGCATTAACACACCCATAAGAAACGTGTTACACAACAATGACAAACGCAACATTAAAAATGTGCATCCAACCCTCCCGTGACTGGAGTTCAACAGTTCAATTTTTTACCGGAAACGGCCATATAGAAAATACGTTGTGGAAATAACCATCTTGCACAATCAGCATGCGCGACACCGGCATGTGGCGAACTGGAATGTGTTAGTTTCACCTTTAGCGGAAACAGACAACAGGTAAACATCAAAGACGATTGCCGCCCTTCTGAAATCACTGACCTATCTTTGTTTTGTCGCCCTGGGTCATTCTGGTACATGAAAGTGTTTTGTAAAGAGACAGACTTTGATGAAAAAGTATTGCTGACTGTGTTGCAATTCTAGTTTCCTTTTTTATGTTTTTGCGCATTCACTAATTAATATTTTTAATGAAACAGGAGTATATTAATAATTTATTTTTTTTCTATTTAGTCAGCTATTTGTTTCACATAATATGTTTATACATTTCTTAATTATTTATTTTATTGCCTTTCATGCATTCGATTTTTCGAGTAACTTATTTTGTATCACCATCTATATTGTATTTTATAGGAAAAGTACATCAATTTATGTATATATTCCCTTAGATTAACCATAAACTAAAGTCCCCTCCCAAATAATTATGATATGGAATGAGTGAGTGAGTTTAGTTTTACGCCGCATTTAGCAATATTCCAGCAATATCACAGCGGGGAACACCAGAAATGGGCTTCACACATGTGGGGAATTGAACCCGGGTCTTCTGCGTGACGACCAAACGCTTTAACTACAAGGCTACCCCACCGTCCCTGATATGGAATAACAACAAAGTCATTAAGACTATTTGAAAAGTTCTTTCTGTAACCTCGAAGAGTCCCAACAAAACATGACTCCCTGGTGTATTTCAGTGGCGGGAAGGGCGACAACAGCTGCTACAGAGACGAGAACAAGGTCGACCTGAAAATCGTCGACACTGTCGCCCTCATTGCCAACAGCGTTGCCTTAGCGTGCCTGGCCCCTCTTGAGGCCCAGAGAGGCGGGACTCTGGCCCTCCCCTGGATCGTGGTGTCAGGGATACTACTCAACCTGTACGCTGTGAGACTCTCCTTCACAGCGGGGAGTCTAGCCAAGGCATACTACATTCTGGTTCTGGCTGGTTTCTGGGCTGTATGGAGCGCTCTGCTCATTGACAGTACGTAAAGGAAACATTCGCTCTCGGATGTAAAAAATACTTATATTTGTGGAGGCTTGGTTCTTGACTATACTCCTCATGGTTTTTTTTTATTAAAAACATACTGTTTTCAGAAAAATGACTTGGTTCTCGACTATATTCCTAGTGGAACTACGTATAGGACGGCAACCGTGTGATTATTATGCTATTAAATTGTAATTTATGAAACAACAATTTCAAGTAAAAATTGCCAAAATTATTAGATTAACACTTTGTAAAAAAATCTTGCAGTTTTGTGTAGATTTGGTTCTCAACTATATTCCTAATGGGGCCACTAAAAGATCGGCAACTGTGTAATTAATATATGTTTAGACTGGAATTTATGAAACAACAATTTCAAGTAAAAATTGCTAAAATTATTATAATAACACATTTTTCAGAAAATCTTGCAGTTTTGTGTACATTTGGTTCTCAACTATATTCCTAATGGAACCACTAAAATAGCGGCAATTGTATAATTGATATTTTTAGATTGAAATTTATAAAACAGTAATTTCAAGTAAAATTTACAACAAATATTAAAAAAACAACTTTTTTTCAGATACTCTTGCTTTCACCCTCCGCTCTGCTTCTGTGGGGATCCTGGTACTGCACACAATAGGGATGTTCGTGACGCCGGTGTTCACCCGGGTGTGGGTCCCCTTCTCCATCTTCATGGAGTTGTGTACCATCGCACTCGTCGTCCGCTGCTTCAACACCAACCCTGCCTGGATGGTCCTCATCACCGCCATTCTTGCTTGTAAGTCGATTATTCGTCAGTAGCACTCTCAAATATAATCTCGGACAACCTGGCTTGACGTTTAGTCAACTTTGTGTATACCGAATATTACATGCACAACCACCTCGAATGTGAGTACAGATAACTTCAGATATACCGAATATTAATGCATTAGATACCCACCCTAGAAATGAATAAGACAACTTCGGATATATCGAATACTCGCCTATATATTGTTCCAAAGTTAAAGCCCCATCGGTACAATGTGTGAGGCCCATTTTGGGTGTCCCCAGCCGTGATATTGCTGGAATATTGCTAAAGGCGGCGTAAAACCCAACTCACTCACTCCTATTGTCGTTGTAGGTACCGTATGTCTCTATGGAGCTATTGCTGAGCTGGTCAACGGCGTGTTGATGGATGTGGTCATCCCGGTCGGGTTTCCAATGTTTGAGGTAAGTCTGTATTCATAAGAAATCTCATGTAATTTGAGCCGTTGTTCGACACGCGGAGAGCTCATATAACGACATAGCATGATCACAACGAACCTGCTGAGGATCTGACAATTACATTGACTAGACCGATGATAACGAGACTTCGTTGCAGTCGGAGGTTGAGGTAGTCGCGAGTTCGATTCCCAAACGGCGTCTCATAAACATGAAGAAAAATATTTTGTAAGCAAAGTCTGCAAATTTATATGACGTCACTTATCATGAATCATTTATGCACTACAGGAGAAGTACATTGACCCCTACGAAAATCCCCCGTGTCCCCTTTTCCCTTCGCGTCGGTCCTCCGCCCTCAGGAAGGTAGCCAAGGTCTTGGATAATGCCGGCGTCATCGGAACCCCAACAGACACCGTCTACGCCATCGCAGCCTCCTGCAAACACCCTGAGTCCATCCAGAGAATCTACACCGTGAAGGAACGCCCTCCAGAGAAGCCAATCTGCCTCTGTCTCGCTAACCTTGAACAACTCAAAGAAGCCAGTCCGGACTTCAGCCCTCTGCTCTGGAACTTCATGGAACGGTGTTACCCAGGTGGTATCAGCTGTGTGGTACCCAAAGGACAATGGATGTATAACCTTGGGGTCGGGGATGCCTACGATCTTGTTGGTACCAAGGAAAGCATCTGCATCCGGGTACCTGACAGCTGTGTCCTTGCTTATCTGGTATCCTGGTCTGGACCAATAGCTCTCACTTCCGGTAACCCAAGTGGCGGAGCGGATAGCACACATCACAGTATGCTGATTGGGTCATTGGGTAAGTGAGGGTTTGTTAATCTACGTCTAATGGTTCGGTTTTTATTTCAAATTAGTGCAGCCTTAAAACCCATCTTAAACCGATTTTATGCATTATGACGTATGCTATTCCTTGTCGCAGATATGGCAAAATAGAATTTCTATCAGCGTGTTGACATATTTATCTGGTTTGCTACCATATAGTGCCGAGTTAGTATATATTTGTAAATGGTATTGGCCATTTATCCTACTATGAAAACATATTTTCATATTTAGTATTCACGGAAGACATAAATTGTAATATGTATGAAATGAGACTATTAATAAATTTCATAATTACAATTCCATATTGGATTATCACATGCTTGTTAATGGCAGTTTCCACACTTATTCAGTAAATACTTCATATGTTCGCCCAGTCAGGGTTTACACACAATTTGCCAACGTATTTTGTAGTAATTTCACGGATTTAGTATCTAAATATCTCTAAACGTGAATATCACGTAAATAAAGCTGTACAACCGTGCCGTGCACGTATTTTACCAACCTCAACTATTATGTCTCAGTATAATGAGCTTTTAACTTTTTATGAATGAACGCACTCAGTAAAAAGACGCTTTAAAGCCATTTAACTTTGCATTATTCCAACCTCAACCTTAATTCTTATTATGACGGAAATTCTAATCCCCCGGAAGCAGTTAATGCTTTATATGGCGTAACCTATTTTGACAATACTCACGTACGAAATTGTAGGTCACCGTTATTTACAACACGTTGCACTGTACTGTATACGTATGGCGTGTGTTTGGAGGGAATTGTGTGCTTTAAATAACCACTGCTTTTTTTGTGTTTTTTACATTTGGTATTTTTGTTTAAAACTAAAACCCCTTTGACATATCAAATATTATATTCTTTATCGAGGAGAACAGTTACACAGGCACAATATTTATACGTTGTTGGCTGGATGTATGGGTAGGATTATGTTCGGTACAGGTGATTTATATATATATATATCAATTTCAATTTCAAAGCAATAGCAGGGGCGATGGGGTAGCCTAATGGTTAAAGCGTCCACTCGTCACGCTGAAGAACCGGGTTCGATTCCCTACATAGCACAATGTGTGAAGCCCATTTCTGGTGTCCCCCGCCGTGATATTGCTGGAATAGTTCTAAAAGCGGCGTAAAACCATACTCACTCAAACCTTAGTCGTCGGTTCGATGTTTATAACAAAATTCAGGGCAACTTTGAGATAACTTCGTAAAATTGGAGGCTGTTATCGTTGAGTAAAAGAATTCAATGCAGTCAGTCAAGAGTAGTAATATGATGTGTTACTGGAGTATTTTATCTATGTATTTTACTACTATCTTTTCCATTGAATATCTAACACATGTGACTCAAATATGACACACGATCTAAACAGCCGATAGAAAGAAAGTATACAGCTGGCTACGTTTGATGTTGCTAAAACGAAACAAATAATAAATGCATTTTCGATGATGAGTTGTGTTGTGGATCTTAGTTCTGCAGTGTTTCGGCCATTACTTTCAGCCTAGTAGCACTTTGATAATGTTGCGATTTTGTGGTCATTATATATGTACGAACACCACTAATTACACTTTTTTTGTATTGCAGGCCAGAAACTAGATGCTGTTATTTGTGATGGTGAATCTCGGGAACTCGTGGCTTCCACGGTGGTCAATTGTATGAACATAGATAAAGGTAAACCCATATCCATTTGTGTATAGTGAAACCTCGTTAATCCGGACACTGTCGTTTACAAGGAAATCATCCGAATTCACAAATGTACGGAATAACGAGTCCTCGTGCCGGAATAGTGCCACTGTATGCAATACAGGTCCTAACATACTCACCGGAATAGTGTGGTTTCCCGACTAACGGGGTTTCACTTTAATGAGATTACTCAAACACATCCGTACGATGCTGTTACCAGCTGTGGAGTTAAACCTCCACAAATCCTTAACAAAGGAAGTGTAACGGAAATGTTTCCGTGCATATTTGAATTAAAAATCTCCAACCAGCGCTCAACCTGTGCAATACTAGGTATCACCCTATGATACCACATACACTTCCCATCACCTAATGCTGGTCGGTTGGTTGTTTAACGCCGCACTCAGCAATATTCCAGCTATATGGCGGTGGTCTGTAAATAATCGAGTCTGGAGCAGACAATCCAGTGATCAACATCATGAGCATCGATCTACGCAATTGGGAACCGATGACATGTGTCAACCAAGTCAGCGAGCCTGACCACCCGATCCCGTTAGTCGCCTCTTACAACAAGCATGGGTTGGTGAAGATCAATTCACACCCGGATCTTCACGGGTACTGTAATGTGTACATTGTGTTTGCAGGTGACATTGACTACTTCCGTATCGGGTGCACACCGAAGGAAATTGTGGACCAGCATTTCGAAGACGCCAAGGCAGCCATGGCGGAGAAGAACACAGTGGTCACTCTGGGGTCTACTGACCTTAAGAAATGACCACAGCCTAGGTCATAGTGGACCAACTAAGCCAGCCAGATGACAGTTTGGTGTTTGTGTCGATTAATGTTCTTTCAACGCTCTGTCTTTGGCGATATGCAATGGCATCTTGAATATGCAAGTTCGGGGGTCATGACGCATAGTTATGCATATTCATCGTGATAGATCACCATCGTTCAACTTTACCTCTGATATTGTATTCAAATAGTGCAAACATGTTGTATCAAGTACATCCAATTGTTTATTTATTCGATCATTGATGATTGCCAGGTCTGTGAACGTAAAAACTTTTTATAAACATCTATATCCAGCTCCATAGCGATTCAAGAGGGTCTCGGACACTGGTGGCCCATTTGTCTAAGGGGTGAAAATCGCTGGGCAGAGCTGCGACTCGTAAGCATGTCCGAAGCCTGTGATAGTGGGTTCAAATCTCAGATTCACCATCATCGAGTGTCATGGTTTCTCATGACCATACCTTATCTGTAGGCTTTCACCATTTAAGACCTGGAACAATTTGTTACACGCCCTGATATAACTGAAACAGTGTTCACAGCGGGCGTAAAATGAAACTCACTCACTTTCGCAGCCAACCCTTCTGACATGCTGAAGTAAGAAATGTTTCATTTCATGTAGGAGTAATTTAGCAAAGGCATCTGGAAGTTGAAAACAGATGAAATTAAAAAATAATAAATTTCTTTCTGCATTATTAATGAAAATGTTGCTAGTCAGTCCGTATATAGTGTATCGCCTGGTGCCAATGTATTATAGCTGTGTTCATACACTAGTTCAGGGCCGTTAATTATGTAGATGACGTCATGGGTATGCTGGAGATATGTTAAGTGATATGTTAATGAAAGATGTGTAGAACATCTTAAGAAGAAGAATTGGTCATCAGAATCTGTACATTCCTGTTTATACTACCAAACTTTCATACTTTTGTAGCTGATTGATTGTATACATGTATATTGTTTTTTACCTTTGTAAATATCATATTTTGAAAATAAATTCGTTTCATGTGTATTAAATGTTTTAATTGTACATGTTACTTCACTGGATAATAAAAGCTACAAAATCATTTCCACAACCTAAAGAAATATCGGTTAATGCTTCGATTCGGACTAATGTACTTAGCATGAACCACAAGCGTGATGACACCAGGTGCTCACTGACGAAAAGGTGACGGACACAAACACATGCAAAGGACAGTCAAATGCTGATATGTAAAACAACAACATATGACGCAAGTCGAAGTAGGGAATTGCATCGGAAATGGTTTTGGTCTAAGTTGGAAATCTTCGCCACATGTCTACATTAAAACATTTTGAAAGTGTGCTAGTGCTTTATAAGGAAGTACTATCTTTAGGATAAATATATCCGGACCAAATAACAATACCGCAAGGTAATAAGTATATTACATTATTCTTGTATTTAATATATCAATAATTTCCGGGCTGTTGAGTTTTCTTGCTTACTGGTTTATTATCAAACAGATTACGTCATCACGTGCAATGATAGTCCACGGTACTGAAATGTCACTGCATTTGTGCTGAAAAGGATATCGTATTTACTTTCATGATCAAATCAGCTTAGCATGAAAAGACACCAATACCATGAAAGGATACCATGTGTACCTGTATCAGTGTCATTAAGAGATTAAACTTATGTGTACTTGTATTGGTGTCATGGCGGGATACAGTCTTATGTGTACCTGTACTGGTGTCATGACGGGATACAGTCTTATGTGTACTGGTGTCATGACGGGATACAGTCTTATGTGTACCTGTACTGGTGTCATGACGGGATACAGTCTTATGTGTACCTGTACTGGTGTCATGACGGGATACAGACGTATGTGTACCTGTACTGGTGTCATGACGGGATACAGACGTATGTGTACCTGTACTGGTGTCGGATACAGACGGTGTATGTACAGGTGTATGACGGATACAGTCTTATGTGTACTGGTGTCATGACGGGATCCAGACGTATGTGTACCTGTACTGGTGTCATGACGGGATACAGACGTATGTGTACCTGTACTGGTGTCATGACGGGATACAGACGTATGTGTACCTGTACTGGTGTCATGACGGGATACAGACGTATGTGTACCTGTACTGGTGTCATGACGGGATACAGACGTATGTGTACCTGCACTGGTGTCATGACGGGATACAGACGTATGTGTACCTGTACCTGTACTGGTGTCATGACGGGATACAGACGTATGTGTACCTGTACTGGTGTTATGACGGGATCCAGACGTATGTGTACCTGTACTGGTGTCATGACGGGATACAGACGTATGTGTACCTGTACTGGTGTCATGACGGGATCCAGACGTATGTGTACCTGTACTGGTGTCATGACGGGATACAGACGTATGTGTACCTGCACTGGTGTCATGACAGTGATACAGACTTATATGTACCTGTACTGGTGTCATGACGGTATACAGGCGTATGTGTACCTGCACTGGTGTCATGACGGGATACAGACTTATGTGTACCTGGTGTCTGACGGGATACATGACGGGATACAGACTTATGTGTGCCTGTACTGGTGTCATGACGGTATACAGACTTATGTGTACCTGTACTGGTGTCGTGACGGTATACAGACTTATGTGTACCTGTACTGGTGTCATGACGGGATACAGACTTATGTGTACCTGTACTGGTGTCATGACGGTATACAGACTTATGTGTACCTGTACTGGTGTCATGACGGGATAAAGACTTATATATACCTGCACTGGTGTCATGACGGGATACAGACTTATGTGTACCTGTACTGGTGTCATGACGGGATACAGTCTTATGTGTACTGGTGTCATGATGGGATGCAGTCTTATGTGTACCTGTACTGGTGTCATGACGGGATCCAGTCTTATGTGTACCTGTACTGGTGTCATGACGGGATACAGACTTATGTGTACCTGTACTGGTGTCATGACGGGATACAGTCTTATGTGTACCTGTACTGGTGTCATGACGGGATACAGTCTTATGTGTACCTGTACTGGTGTCATGACGGGATACAGACGTATGTGTACCTGTACTGGTGTCATGACGGGATCCAGTCTTATGTGTACCTGTACTGGTGTTATGACTGGATGATTACTTATATATACCTGCACTGGTGTCATGACGGGATACAGTCTTATGTGTACCTGTACTGGTGTCATGACGGGATAAAAACTTATATATACCTGCACTGGTGTCATGACGGGATACAGACTTATGTGTACTTGTTAGGAAATGAGATTAATTCCATTTATAAGTATTGGTCTAGAAGCCAGACCCCCCAAAAGGTGAAAATGTGGTGCAGTTCTGGCGACCAAACGGGATGTGATTTTTCACAATCAGGAATGATTTAGCTTTGATTTAAAGCCGGTTGTCATCAACTACAGTGCGTGACTACCGTGCAGGGGCCCTTTTAAGGTGCAATATGTCATGTCAGTTATGGCAATATTTTAACCAATAAATGTATGTTTAATTTAATAACTCTGTTTTGGATTGACCGATTTTGATCAAAATAGTAGTTTCAGAATGCTCAGATCATGATTAAAATTGTGGACAATAATATTACATATGCTCATCGCAAAACATTTTGGTAAAGTCAAAGGTCAATTTTAATAGAAAGGGCATTTGATGAGAAAATATGAGTTGAACTTTACAAATTAAAGGTAATTGTTTCCAAAATTATGTTTTTCTAATTCAGCTATATCATTTGAAGATCATATATACCTTTGGTTGGCACTGTATACATGAAAAACCATTACAAGGAAACAAAAGTTCATGCATTCAATCAATAACAAAACATCTGTAAAAATACTTGTGATCGGAACCTGCTTAAAGCGGCATTACTCACAGGTACTTTCATACAGTATTGTTTTACTTTTCAAAGTTCTTTTAGGTAAGCTTGTTTCCAAATGTATTGATTGAGTATTTCAAGCTACGCTGCAGGTTATCTGGATGTCTGCACGTATCAACGCATTAACACCTGGAACAGACACCTTCCATCTTTCCTCTATTTCCACTACCCCATGGATAATTGGAGAAAATAATCATGCTAATTAAAAGATCGCACAAGCAATCGTACATAAAATGAACTTGGATTAACCTTTCCATATTCCATAAAATATCAAGCAGATATTCAATATAATAAATACACGACGTTTCTGGGCTACTAAGAAGCATCCCAGAAACGTCGTGTTGTAAATAATAAAGAAGTTGTACATCCATACCATACGTTGTTATGTTACCTTCCAACTTCTAAATGCCCATCAAGCATCTACATGTTGATCAGCTTACAGTGCAGACATTATGAAAATTTAACCATGATTAAATATAGTGATTAGGATGTAGTTGTGTGGCATTTCACCAATAAGGAGATACACATACACACGCGCGCGCACGAACGCACGCACGCACACACACACACACACAATCATCAAGTCACCAGGAAAAACCGGGAGCTTATGGTACAAACAAAAGGTAGGTCACTTAATTCGCTACTCACTGCGTTAGGGAGAAAATAATCAATTAATCCTGCTTCGGTGGATTTCATCTTGAACAGCCCCAGCCCATACAAATGCAACAAAAATCAAATAAACAAACACGCACAAAACCCAATGCCAAAAATTGGCTACACAGCGTATTGGATCATATAGGATCTAACAACAGTTGTTTAATGTAGGAGAAATTCAGAAATATAGATATGCTCTTGAAAAACCAATAAGCATATCCGGGGCATGTTTGGATCCTATAATTACAGCATCCTGGCACGTTATACAAAGCGTAAGTCTCTGATAATAGGAAATTTTGATAGAAATAGATCCTGAATTAGCCCCAGTGAGCTCGGAGATTCAGAACCAGTGAGAGTCCAGACTGGCTTCATTTTGGACTATTGCATTACAGAAGGGGTTGGGCCGAAAGTTTGGAGTATGAGACAGACTACTGGCATGTGTAAGGTCCCAGCGATACAGAGCGAATGTGGTTCTTACAAGGAGGGAAACGCGTTTACAAAACCTAATCTCCTAGTAATATTAGCATTCATATTTCGGAAAATAAATATATAGATCTAGGCAAGCAGAAGATGTCTTTCATTTGAAACACACTCTGCTGAACACAGCTAGTGGCTTCATAATGTCTGTTGGAACAATGCAGCTGACTACAGCTGACTTGGTAATGTTAATCTAGGTGAGGGCTATCAATATGTTAGAGCTGACGTTGTACTGTCGACGTTCATCAGCTGATGAAGATAGTCATTCGCGTGAGCCAATTCCACGAAACTATAACTATTGTCAATTCATTCACTCTCTGCCTGAAGGACAACGTAGTCATGCGACATACTGAAATCGGGAAAGGAACGACAGTTGGTCTTTTAGTATCCATCTGGACGAGGTCACACACTTCTGTCAATATGTATAGACGATTCAAGGTTTTCCGCTTAAAAATATTCTAAAGCGTCTGTCAACGTATATACCAACTTCTGTGAGTGTATGGAATAGCTGACAGTAATTAAATGCAACTTCACAATTGGCTCTCTGAGGTACGACTTATGCAGAGACCAGAAAAGATATTGGCGACATACATTCTGTTGTCAATAATATCATTTGGAATGATCTACAATAGATATCATGAGACTGACTATGCATTTATTCACTAACCATTCTCACAGGTTCACATATATGCTGGGTCAAAATTGATCTTCAGCAACCCATGTTGTAAGAGCGAACTAATGTGATCGGGTGGTCGTTCTCACTTACTTGTTTGATGCATGCCATCGTATCCCACTTGTGAAGATCGATGCTGATAGTGTCATGACCATGCTGTGTGTAACTCTTTTGTGTATATCATTACATATTACTAAAACCGACGTATGCATATTTGTATGAACGTTACAGAAGAAGCAAGATGTTTAAATGAATATTGTCTAGGAATTTCTTTGAGTTGTCCATTAAAGTAGGCACTTAATGTATTGTATTTAAAGCAATACGTTTCTGTAGTAATAGA